AGCAGTTCGGCGGTTCGAATCCCTAGCGCCGTGTAACAGAGTGAGCTCCTATGACTTCTCCCAGCTTCTGCCAACCTCGCAGTTCGAAAGCACGTTAAAAAAATGCAAGTAGAAAAATAGGGACCACCTTTGGTGGGAAGGGAACAGCATTTTGTGCGCCTTTAGTCATGCCGGCCACATGACCACAGAGACGTCTTCGGACAGCGCTCACTCTTCGGCTTTGAAACAGAGATGAGCACCGCCCCCTGGAGTCGGGAACGACTAGCACGCATGTGCGAGGGGAACCTTTATTTTAGAATACGATGGGTTTACCTATTGTTTATTTGAGGCAGAAGCATCACAATTAAACTAATTGCATAGTGTAAAATTTTAAATTGAAATATGTACCAGGTAAACAACTTTTTCCCAGAAACCAGCGACATTAATTGTGTTCTGTCACACTGCCATGAGGTTCTTAAATGCGCACCGATCAGGGTGCAAGGAACAAGCAAGCCAAGGTTTGCTTCAACATGGTATACTGATTAAACCACAACTGACTGTTCATGTATAGCTTAACCAAATGCCAAGCAAGATGTACGATGGTTCAGCACAGTGTTAACTCAAAGTGGCAATGTTTTCAAAACAAACTAAACAATGCTCTGCTTATCACCCTTCATGGCTGAGACAAAGGAAGTTCCTTCTTTTCTATTCTATTCATTCCAGGTTTTTGTTGTTGTTCTTTTAAAAGTGATATAAAGAAACAGGCCGTGCAGAACTGGACCTCCAGTAACCTGAATTCAATCAGTTGAATAAATGAATAAGCAAGTTAGCTTTGTCAACAGAAAATAGCCATAGGATAGATTTCCCAGAAAAAGTGGGGGAGGGAGAGGGAGGAGAGAGAGAAAAAGAAAGAGAGAGAATTTAGCCACTGAGAACTGACTTAAAGATTTTAGAATTCAGTAGAAACCTTCAAAGAATTGGCACAGGAGACAGCGAGAAAGAGAGACACAGAGACAGAGACATACAGAGAGAAAGACAGAGAGGGAGACAGAGGGAGAGACACAGGGGGAGAGAGAGAGAAAGACAGAGACACACACACACAGAGGGAGGGAAAGACAGAGAGAGAGAGAGAGAGAGANGGTCCTCATTTTATCCACCTTGGAAGGATGGAAGGCTGAGTCAACCCTGAGCCTGGTGAGATTTGACTGTAGCTGGCAGTCAGCAGAAGTAGTTTGCAATACTGCACTCTGACCACTGCACCACTGCATCTCTTCTCCCTTAATTCTCCCTTCCTGCAGACAGCTTGCTGCCAATGGTCTTTAGCTGACTTTCCATCAATGCTAACCTATTGTTTGTATTACCTTGGGTTTATCCAACTTGAGAAGCTCTAAAGGAAAAGGGCATTTTACCCAGGTGTAATGTACAACTGAAGCTGAGCGCTCCCTCCTTGGAATGAAGAATTAGAGGTGAAAACATACTCTAATTATTGAATAAGAGAGTTGGAGGTCTTCTAGTCCACCCCCTGCTCAAGTAGAAAACTGTATACCATTTCAGACAATTGGTTGTTCAATCTTCTCTATATTAGTTTAATTTATATCCTGGTTTCCTTCCACGAGTGCAAGACAAAGTATATAGCTTTTTCTCCTTCTCTATTTTCCCAAGTTGCCCCAGGACAGTGACTATCTCCACAGTATAACTCAAGTGATGTTATGAAATTCAGGGCAGAGAGAGTCCTAATTTTATATTTTAATAACTGCTTCACACTGGTGTCCTTTCAGATCTCCAAAGAACCTGTAGCAGAGATGCCACAGAATAACAAAAGTCCTGGGAAACAAGATGGAACTCATTGGGACACAAAATCTAGGGAGTTAACCACATATTCTTTCCCTATTTCTGGGATCCAGTCCCTCAGGGGAAGATCGCAGCAAGCATAAACTTCCATCCTCTTCAAATTCAGCCACTAAATCTCAAGAGTCTTGCAAGTTCATCCAGGTAGCCATCTAAGCCAACAAAGGAATAACCACATCAGGTAGTGATTTGCAAATATTTTTTTCATCCCCCCCCCCCAATAATTTGATAGCCGCCAACTTCAAATGGAGATTTTCATGGCAATAGAAGTTGAGGACATTCTGACTGGCTTAAAAGAATTCAGAAAACTCGTGTTATGCTTCATTTAGCTTTAGTTTAGTGTCTGGTGTAAAATCAGTTTGTGTCTTTTACAAACTTTGCCTAAGGGCTTTGCATACCCCACCCCTAAACAGCCAGTGTTATTAGATTATGGGTAATTTGTTCCAACCACCCGGAACCACGATATTGTAACCTGACATCTACCTTTGTGAAGCCAGCTTGCTGGTTTAGTTGATGGGTTGTTGGTTTGTTTTTTTAAAAGGTTTTTATTGAATACAAATTAAGACATTGGACATAGTGTAACCATCCTGGTGAAATCTATGCCATCCATGCTAAGATATAAAGTTATACATTATAACCACCCTGCTTTTTAACGTTTGATCTATTCCGTATTTACAAATATAGAAATATTGTATTTCCCACTATGTTGCTTTGTGTTTATCTTATACATTTTCACTATTATAGTTTCATACATAATTCTAGTCTCCATTGTATGAATCTTAGCCATTGCTAATTTTGAGTCTTTCCTTTTTTTTGTTCCGCCATCAATAAAATTTATCCCAAATCTTATAATATTCTGATTTGTCTTTATTCTTCAATTCCCACATCAATTTATCTATTTCAGCACGTCAGAATTTTCCTAATTATTTCCCCTTCTTATGGAATTTTCCAGTTTTGGGCAAAGACCATTCTTGCTGCCGTAATAATATGTATTGTTAAGTAAATTATCCCCTTGTTATATTTATTATTTATAATTCCCAAAAGAAATAGTTCCAGTGTGAATTCTATTTCCTCTTCGGTTATCACTATCAGCCACTTTCGTATTTTCTGCCAATATTCTTTTGTTGTTTGGCACGACCACCACATGTGATAGTACGTGACTGATTCATGGTCAAAGTTTTAGTTTAGTTAGGCTTGCTGGTTTCGTTGATGCTTTAAAAGAGGGTGTGAACTTTTAGTTAATCAGTAAGCTGTTCTAAAGTTTACCATAGATAAGCTTGTTGATGGA